GTATATATATATATATATATATATATATATATATATATATATATATATATATATATATATAAAATAGTTTGTATAGGGTTATAAAAACCAATGATAGAGTGCTCAATGGATAACCAGAGCATAATAGAAAGACACAAAAACTTAGCAAGCTTTGTTTGGCATATTTATTACTATACAGCTTCGTACCACGTAAATAACGTGGCACTCTTCAGATAAAATAGCCTATGTTTGACCTATAGCTTCTTAACGAACTTTTTAAATATGTACAGATGGTATAAAGGTCGCTTATCTAATTACAAATCAATTAACACCTCGCAAGTAGTGTCGCGAAAATATTAGTATCAAGTTATAAAGTTTTTAAGTAGAAATTTATTAGCGTGTCTACACGTGGAGACAAGTTCGTTGCGACGATTAAGTGTTGCAATGTCCGGTTTACAAATAATGAAATACTTCTCCCAGATACAATGTAACTTGTGTATCTGGGAGAAGTATTTCATTATTTGTAAACCGGAAATTGCAACACTTAATCGTCGCAACGAACTTGTCTCCACGTGTAGACACGCTAATAAATTTCTACTTAAAAACTTTATAACTTGATACTAATATTTTCGTGACACTACTTGAGGTGTTAATTGATTTGTAATTAGATAAGCGTCCATTATACCATCTGTACATATTTAAAAAGTTCGTTAAGAAGCTATAGGTCAAACATAGGCTATTTTATCTGAAGAGTGCCACGTTATTTACGTGGTACGAAACTGTATAGTAATAAATATGCCAAACAAAGCTTGCTAAGTTGTTGTGTCTTTCTATATATATATATATATATATATATATATATATATATATATATATATATATATATATATATATATATATATATATATATATATATATAGCTTAAGATTTTGGTTTACGAAACACAAACAGTGCTCAATACCATATAGATAGAGCGTAATATAGTTTTCGTTTTACCTCAAAAAACCACAACAGTCTGTTTCATCCGTATAGGAATCATCAGGTGGTGAATAATTTCGAAATTGCAGGTTGCTTTTATGCTATCGAAAGAATGTGCGGAATGCGTGTAGGCGAAACAATGCTTAGGTGAAACAATGCATGCTTGGGTCATTAGGTTTTGTTAACGATCTTGTTTACTCGAAACCGGTTTTTGTGACGACATTTGCCGAAAATTTCGCTTCTTTTATTGAGTAAATTGTCTTTGTTTGTGTCTTTCAAAATGCAAAATTTTTCTTCCAAACATAAATTGCAGCGTTTTGATCCCCCTGTGTACGAAATAGCGTGTTTTAAAATTGACCATTTGATGGTATAATCCTGATTGTTTTCTTTTAATTTCCAAATATGTTTCGAAAGTTCCGTCTTGTTTGAGTCTTTTTTATGACGAAAAGATGAAGTGTGGTTAGCGTAACGTTCCTTAAATGTAGTCGCTGTCATACCAATGTAGTGTTTAGTGTCGTTCGTGTTGTTCGTTGTGACTGTTGCTTTGTAAATAATGTTGTTGGTCATGCATTGTTTCGGTAGTGGGCAAGTGTTTTTGTTGTCGCAGTTACAGTTGTCCGTTTCCGTATTCTGTGATTGACTGTTCCTAATTATATGTGCGTTGTGTTTGGTGATTATAGACTTAACGTTGTTCATGCAACTGTAGCTTACTTTTAAAGTGTTTCTGTTAAAAATCTTGTGTAGTTTGTGCTGTAGCGGGAAGTGTTTGTCAATTAAACTTAAGAATTCCCGTCCTATGTTCGTGTTAACACTCTTACTAAATGGTGGGTTAAACCAAATTATGTTGCGTTGCCTATTCCTACGTGTCCGTTGCGGTGCATTCTCAGTGTACGTAAATTCATGATCAAAGTTACTATGTGTAAGAGCGTTCTGGTAAATAGGTGTGGATTCCTTAAATGTTTGTTCGTCCGATGAGAGAAGTGCAATGCGTTTGTTGATAGCTGTAGGTAATTGTCTTGTAATGCTTGGTGGATGGTTTGAGTGTCTGTGGATGTACAATGGATCGTCATTGGGTTTCCTGTATGGTTTGTGTTTTGCGTTGATCAGGTCGAAAGTAACATCTAAAAAATTTACAACGTTCATATTTACTTCGGCGGTGATTTTAAGGTCAAATTGCTCGAAAATTTTGTGTAGCTCTTTTCTAGTTTTGTCTAGTAAACGGGCGGATTTGCTTTTTATAATAGCCAAACCATTATCTCTATAAAGTCCGATGTTTTCCTTGCCAAACCTCTTACCTAAGTGATTTAAAATGAAAAGGCTTACCAGCTCACAAATTTCAGCGCCGTCGAAACTACCCATAGTGACGTCAAATAAACTGTTGCTTCCGTCTTTTTTTGTCCATAATTTGCCGTTGCCGAAAAGTAGAGATTTTCTTGCATGTTTTATTATTGAAATATCGTTTTCGGTAATAGTAGTCAAATCCGAAGCCCAGGCCAATGCTTCATTCAAAAGTTTTTCGGAAATAGATGGGTAAAAATCCACAATATCAAATGAAATAAAACTGTGCCTGTCTTTATCGTTTATATTGCCAAACCATGAAATTACTTGTTGCGTATTTCTCCATTGATTTGAATTTAGTTTTTGTCTCAAATTGGAATTAATTTTATCTAAAATAACCTTACTTAGTTTTCCGGATTCGCTTTTTGCGGGATTAATTAGTCGGCATTTTGGATTGTTTTCGAAATTTTCTTTGTGATCTTTTAAAGATATAAATGCTTCGCGTTTTTTCATTCGTTCAATTCTGTCACCAATTCCTAACTTACTCGAAATTTCTTTCAATTCGGAGTCAATTTCATGTATGAAGTCCTCTGATCCATGTTTGTACGTTTTCGTGATGTTATCATGTAAGAGTTCGTTGTATGTGTTCAGTGACGTTTCGTAAATGTTTCTAGTTTTGTCCGCGAAAATGAAAATGTTGGGGAATGAAAACGTAGAACGAACGAAATGCCGGATTCAATTGCATAATGCAATATTGTAACACGAGACAGAATAACAAAATGTAATGCGTCATAATGAAATGCTTCCTATATTATAAGGCCACATTAAAAAAAATAGTTGTTTAGCGTCCACATGATGGAAACCCATTTCACCAAAATGCTCACCGCGCGCTCAGTTTTCAAGTTTCCCCCCTCAAATTTTGCATGCATAATGATAAATCAATGCTACAGCTAACCATTTGCCACAAACTCTACATCTTTAAAAACTGTACAACATGCTACGGGTTGCTTTTGAGCGGCGAGATTAGAACGCTTCTGATATACCTCAAAGGCTTCCGAAACATAATATTTCCCATCTCAAATGATCAAAGAACAAAACCGTGTTCGCGTTTTTTGACAGATATTGTATTTGCTTTGATATAAAGCAGAGAAGTTGACTCGTCTAAATTTTGGGAGAACGACAGAACAGATGCCTGTAACTTGAAAAGTATGCACTAAATAAAAAACGCGAACACGGTTTTGCTCCTGTACTATTGTTCAACATTGTGACAAAGTTTGGAGGGAATCGGATAAAACGTGCGCGTCTCTTGACTATTTTTGTGGGGACAATCGGAGAATATCTCAATCTCCGTAAAAGACGATAATAGATTTGGCGGGCTTTTCCCGCTTTCTGTTATCACCTCGAAATGTAATCGGATTAAACTTAGTAAAGAGTGTTTTGGCAAGGGTTTTTCGTGTCATTTAATTATCAGTTTATCACAAACCGTACGTGCAAGAAATCAGATTGAAAAACTTGCTAATATGCCGGTGAAACGCAAATGTAAAGAGCCATCTAAATCGGCCAAACGAAAATGCAGGAGAAGGTCTGTCGTGCGCGACGGAAACACAAGCAAGGTTGAAGGTCACACATCCTGTGTCGAGTATCACATCTATCCACATATTGTCAATTACATTTACAACTTTCGTGGGCAAGAAATTAGTGGTTATAACATATGAATATTTTCGAAGGCGATCGAGAGATCTCCATCCCCTGAATATGAATCAATAAAAATGTAAAAATGATGAAATCAGTGTTTTCATCATATAATGTAACATTAAACAGGCGTTTAAACAAGCGTTTATTTAATTAAACAAGCGTTTTTGTGAACACGGAAGATAAAAAAACTTTTAAGACCTGTTTACACTTTCAATTTTTGCTGCGATTTCTAGTACGATTTTCTTCTGATGGATGGGAACGAGTAGATGAGTTATGAATGATGAGGGTACACGCACTCAAAACATTTGTAACTCATCTACTCATTCACATCCATCAGAAGGAGAAAATCGCACTATTTCGCAGCAAAAATTGCTAGTGTAAACGGGCCTTTAAAAATCTAATGTTTTGTCATATGTGTTGAAGATTCTCACAAAAATCTTATGTTTTGTCACATGTATTGAACTTGAAGATTCTCACAAAAATCTTATGTTTTGTCACATGTATTGAACTTGAAGATTCTCACAAAAATCTTCAAACACGTATCAATGACATGACAAAAATGTCGCTTAATTGCTCGCTAATGTCACAATGTAAATATCACTGACGTCCGCAGTGCATGTCTCTGCTGACAAAGTCTGTGTTCCGTCTGTGTTCAGAAAACCTTCTGCGTTCTTCAAAACCTTCGCTCAATCTTCCATGTATACAAAAGGCATTTTCGTGAACTGACCCGTTTTTACGGACGAAGGCATCTATTTTCCATCGTGTTAGTGTAGACGATCGGAGAAAACTCATGCATATAGGTACAAAAGTTTCATGCAAAGGACGGCTCTTTAGAATAAGACACACAATTACTCGCAATTACTCCAAGCTAAATATCTTACTAAATATCTTGGCACTAAACAGCAAAATATCTTACAAAACTATATATCCTACCTCCGTAGGCGACGTTGTCGTGTTGCTGTCTGCATTAGAGCAATTGCTAGAAGACATGGTTGTCATGATACTTGGTGAAGATGTTGTACTTTGACCTGCTAACGGCATGCACAGTAAAAACGCCATCAACAATTGACATATCTCGTGTCTACGGCCAAAAAGGATCATTGTAAGTTCACTTTTATAGCTGTAAGTATAACCAATGTTCAAGCTCTAAGTTCCTTTTAGCAGTGTGTGGTTCAATTACAAAAATGCTAAGTTAATGCTGCCTCGTCCCCAGTCGCTTTCAAAGGGGGAGAGGAAAACGAGAAAAAAATTCTTTTCCCATCATGCATTGCCCGGTAACTTATCACAGCCACTGATCTATATAGATTGCAATTGCACTGGATTGTTTCCAACAAAAGGGCCTGCGGAGGAGGCAGAAGTTTATGTATACACTGACTGTGACGTGTTTTGAAATTAACCAATAGAAGTGGGGGATAATTACTAACATGTTGAAAGTGTTGATCGCATCAAAAAATCGTTTCAAAGATAATCCGTTTCAGTATTTCACATGTGTTTTGCATGGATGGTAAAAATAACACATGGTGTGTTGTCGTGTCTTCAAACTGCTGTTTGCAAGCTACCATTAGGCGTGCGATTCTTTTGATTAAATGTTCAGAGCTTCAGATGCGGCGCTCATTCGGGGGCGGCGCTCTTTAAAAAAATCTTTTATTTGTGAATTATAACAAGAACTTTTAACAATAAAATAAACAAGTTTTAAATATCTTTGTCACCAAATGTCCCCATTTTGACAGCGGAAAGTTTTTACACTGTTTAGTGCGGCGCTCATTCGGGGGCGGCGCTCAATCGAGTAAATGCGGTATGTTTACGTCAGCCGCTTCCATGCACTTGTAAGGAAATTTCCTTCCGAAAGGAAATATAGGCTTGTGGAAGGATAAAGATAAGGAAATGCAGTTTGGAAGGAAATCAGAGGAAAATTTAGTCATCTGGAAGGAACGGGAAGGAAGTTTCCGAATTCGTAATTTTTCAGTTTATGAGACACTTAAAATTGTATGTTTTTACTTTCTATAAACCAAATTAATTTAAACTTTGTTTTCACATAAATGATAAAAATTGATCTATAGGGATGTGTGAGGATAAAACAGGTGCTGAACAAATAGCGAAGGCTCAATTCGCGATTTTCCGTTTTTGCCAATCGCCATATTTTGATTTTTCAAAATACTTCAGTTCCAATTTTTTCAAACCATATTAAGGCATAATTGGCTAAATACATTGAGTCATTGACATTAGTGATTAGTGTAATGATACTGTATACTTCATATAGCAACAAAAAATTCCAGTTTTCGAAACTCGCACAGTCGCATATCAATTTCAATCTTGTGCATACAATTACGAAATGTCTAGTTGTGAGCATAACTCTAGACATAAAACAGCATTTTTCTATAGTGAAAACATGATTTTAACATGTATGGTAGTAACGAATTGGAAGGAAGTCTGGAAGGAAATTTCAATATTTTTGGAAGGAAATTTTGTTTTAGAAAAGGCATTTTCCAGCCTCGTACCCAGGGTCTTCTTCGTGATGGCGGCGAGAAAAGAGAAGACCTTGGTAAATACTGTTCTAAAATACGTTGTGATTGGTTTATACATTTGCTTTGAGGATTTTTTACAATAAATGATTGGTTTACCGCTAATCACTTCCTGTAACAACATAATTAACAACATAATTTGTTTATAAGCTGGTGCAGATGTGATCATTTAATAGCTTAGTATGGACAATCTTTAAACTTGTCGACTCTCTTAGTATTTTCAACAAGTTTATTGAGATGTCGTTCCAATACGCTGCTCCTCTGTACGGAAATTTATTTTTCAAAAAATTCGTTTTTGGTTTATAGGTCTAGACAGCTTTGAATTACTACTGCACAGTTCGTAACCACTGTTTTCACAAGTGTGAAATAATGTGTTATATATTGTGGAAGCATTAATTGCTGTTCAGAATTGCGCTAAATTTGTTCACCAATATGGCGGCCAAACTTTCAAAATACTGCTGTTGTATAATGTGCTTGTTCATGCAAATGCTGTTCAAGGGTCCTTTCCAATGGAAAGGTGTTTTCCAATGGAAAAGAGTCAAAATTAGGTTTTTGAATTGCCTATTGGAAAAGTGCTTAGAAGAGGAAAGGAAGCGACCACTTTGGAAATTTGTTTGACTTTTAAATTTAGAGAACGCACATACAAGTCAGATAGGGATGAAAAAAAACTGCAAAAAGCCATTAACTTTGTGATAATTTTATTTTTGTGTCATACTTTGGGTGTCAAATCAATAATTTATCCAATGATATCGATAGAACACGTTTATGAAATATATTGATAAAACGTCCAGATGAAATTTTGTAGTCTCACTGTAAGTTGTTCATGTGTAGTAAGGCACGTTTTCACCTACGATAAAGATCTGAAAATGAGCCGCTACTGCGCATATTAATTAACATGCCGTTAGAAAGGCCTGTTTTGACAATCAAGGGACCGGTCATTAATAATGGGAGGGGGGAGGGGGCGGTGGGTGAGAAAAGGGGGGCGGCTTCAACTCACTTTTGCCTGAATTGGGGGCGGCCTCAAACTGAAAAATATGTCGCAAGGGGCAACCCCAATTTTTTAATACGTTCCTACTCATTTTCAAAATATTTAAACCTTTTTTAGTTCCTATAATCGTAGTTTCCATAGTTTATTACGTATATGCAGTTCACCATAGGAGTCGAAGTAAATAACAACCATTTTGAATACTGGTCCCCAGTACTTGTCCCATTACTTATTTTACACCAAAAAATGTAACGAACTAAATGTTGGAGGGGGGAGGTCCTAATTTTTCTAGATGAGGGTGGGGGCGTCCTGAAAATAAAGGCCTTGCGATTGGGGGCGGCTCTAAAAAAGTTCAATATTTGGTATTTATCACCCACCGCCCCCCTCCCATTATTAATGACCGGTCCCTAACTCCAACTAATTTGTAAAAGAACAGGATGTATACACTACGCAAACCTTTTCAGAATCCGTTTTCTTAAATTTATTAATATTTAAAGACTAATCTATATTCTGATCTTGACTATACTTGATCTGTGGATACTTTAAATTCAAAATCATTTTCTGAACATGTCTATTGGTCAGCAGTGGTCGTTTTGAAATATAGCATGTATTGTGATTTTATAAGTGTTGGATCAGTGTTGGAGGGAATAGGTAGCTCTTTCAAGTCAGAGTGCCTTTCACTTTTTTCAGACATAGTCGACGCTCTTTCTCTTTGACTTTTCAAGGAGAACGTGTTTGTTAACTGTGACGACCTGTTCTGCGTTTATCGGCCTCGGAAAACGACTCCTGGTTTTACCAACGAAAGCGAGCAAAGTTTTCCTGTAATCGGGTAGACGTAGGGCATACAGAATTGGGTTAGCCGCAAAATTTAGCATGGCAATTGGTGCATGGCAGTAAGAGAGGTAATACATTACTACGGCGGTTTTATCTGAACTAAAGTATCCCTGTCTTACCAAAAACTCTAGTAGTTTCAATAAGAAATAAGGAAAGACAGTGAGGAAGAGAATCAGTGTAAGAATGATCACAGTCTTTGCGATATTCTTGTGCTTGGCATTTTGAGGATTTCCAGTGCTTCGTCCACTTCGAATTATCTCGACCGCAACTTGGATATTCAAGACTATTTGAACGACAAGTGCGATTAGTAGTACGCCAAAACTAGCTGTCCAAATTTTTAAACTCATCGTTGATGGCAAATGGAAACTGTAGGTGATGTGAGTGAAACCCAATAAAAATGCGAAGAGCCAAACTGCCATGCCAACCAATACGATCTTTATAGTGGTGAACCAATAGCGACTTTTGAGCGGAAATTTTGTGATTACGAAAATTTGTACAGAGAGAAATGTCAACCATAGGAACGAGGCGGAAACACCAAAACCCCAGCCGAAATTGCTGAACACGTATACCTCGTTGTTATATGCATAAACTACACCTCCCCAGAGACAGAAACCCGATATGCATGAAATTAAGTCGGCAATTGCCAGGTTCAGAATGTTTACCCATGGTCCTTTGCGAAGTATTTTGAAAGGATCGATAGCCATGGCAATGATTACAACGAAGTTGAGTAGTGTACCCGTTGCTGCCACAGACATAACGACGATAATGATATTTCTCCTCTCCTCCAGGCTAAGGAAATATGCCTGTAAGAGAATCATATTATAAGACTGAAATGAATGTTTAATCAATCTCTGTGAATCGGATACAGAATTCGTCCTGATTTCTAATGTGTACGATATAAGTTTTTATTATATGGATATGAGTAAAATACCGTAAAATACGCCACTGATATTTTCCGTATTTCACTATAGTGAAATATGAAATCATATCTTGCGCGGGAACGTCTCGCGCGGGACCCACGCTAATTCCCGCCATTTTGCCGTTTCTGTTTTGAATATACAATATGGCAACTTCTCGACATTTTGTTCATGTTTCCGACGCTGATTTGGCAAGGTTTTCTGAAGAAAATGAAAATGAAAACACAAAAAGGAAGACTAAGTCCGATTTGGCGATTTTCAGCGACTATTTAGCCTCGATAAACGAGCGGAGAGACATAACATTGTTGCCGTACGGTGAGCTACAAAACATCTTGATGAAATTTATTTTGGCCATATATAATATAAAGAACATTTCACGGTGGCTTTGGAAATATGACTTTTATTTTCTCGTGTTGAAAACAATATTTTACTCACTCGCTGCGCTCGTTCGTAAAATATTGTTTTCACCACTCGAAAATAAAAGTCATATTTCCGCGCCACTCATAGGTAGCCCAACAATCCGCACGCCGTGACGTATGATGTAGTAGTATAATATCCTAAGGTTGGCAAGTAAATAATATCATGACTCGCCACGGCTTAAACAAGTCGAAAAAAACAACGTCTCGTGAACAAAGTACGCTAAAAAATAGCAGCCTCTACTTGTAGGATAGTTTTACTAAATATGTACAACGTTTTTTTGCAACAACACGAGTTTATAAGACGAAAAAATACGAAAGTTTTCTTTGAATTTGCCATGTCTCGATGCGGGATGCCTGTTGCCATGCGAAAATCGCCGTTTCAAAACACGTATACGCGATCCTATTGGCTATCAAAAAACCGACAAAACAGCTTACAGGGGGGGAGTTTACCATTTGTCTGCTAGCAAAAATGCTTCGAGTTAGTTCGAATGAAAAAGATTACGGCAGTAGTGCACGCAACTGCTATGTTTATAGCCGATCATGTCGTCCGGTGATCTGTGGATTATTTGTCAAAATTTGTCGGTTTTAAAGTATCAAGCGGCGGCAAGGTTCGGTTGCCAGTTTAACTGCACAGGCGACTTTTCAAAACATTATAAATCGACTTGCAAAAACTGATGCTGATCATCGAACAGATACTGCACGGTGAGTTTTCTGCATGTAGATTGTAGTTTAGCATTGACCCATTGTCCTTTTAATTAAAAAACGTGCAGGTATAAAACCGAAAAGTTGATTTTTGAACACTGTCAGTATTTGAGTATCAACTTTAATTTGCAGAACAGATTTTTGTGTATATATAAATTCGGGTATTCGCATATTTTTATCACGATACTGAACTCATTTCAACAACATAAAAACAACATGTATACTACAGAGTAGTATAAACATCTCAAAATGTTTTATTAAAGTGATGTGCCATGGGTAGGATAAAGGCCTATTAAAAAGCCAGACTATGGAAAATGAGAAGATCAAAATATTTTCTATTTTTTATTTTTGTAGTATAAGGTTCAAACAGTTTTTATTTTAATATTTTCATGTTTTGTTTTGTTTTAATCATGACCACTCTGATATTGGCCAAGTATATAGTCTACAGACCTATATAGACAGTGCAAGAAAGTTTTCAAAAAACACATATTCTCGCCACATTTCACGTCTTCGCGTCCTACTTCAATAAGCGAATTAATATATTGTACATGAAAGTTTTTTTAAAAACATTCCCGCTAGGCGCTACATACAAAATTAAGAAAACTATTTTTTTGAAATGAGTTCAATACTATAGCTAAACCGGCTACAATCTACATGCAGAAAACTCACCGTGCAGTATCTGTTCGATGATCAGCTTCAGTTTTTGCAAGTCGATTTATAATGTTTTGAAAAGTCGCCTGTGCAGTTAAACTGGCAACCGAACCTTGCCGCCGCTTGATACTTTAAAACCGACAAATTTTGACAAATAATCCACAGATCACCGGACGACATGATCGGCTATAAACATAGCAGTTGCGTGCACTACTGCCGTAATCTTTTTCATTCGAACTAACTCGAAGCATTTTTGCTAGCAGACAAATGGTAAACTCCCCCCCTGTAAGCTGTTTTGTCGGTTTTTTGATAGCCAATAGGATCGCGTATACGTGTTTTGAAACGGCGATTTTCGCATGGCAACAGGCATCCCGCATCGAGACACGGCAAATTCAAAGAAAACTTTCGTATTTTTTCGTCTTATAAACTCGTGTTGTTGCAAAAAAACGTTGTACATATTTAGTAAAACTATCCTACAAGTAGAGGCTGCTATTTTTTAGCGTACTTTGTTCACGAGACGTTGTTTTTTTCGACTTGTTTAAGCCGTGGCGAGTCATGATATTATTTACTTGCCAACCTTAGGATATTATACTACTACATCATACGTCACGGCGTGCGGATTGTTGGGCTACCTATGCGCCACCGTGAAATATCCTCTATATATCCGATGTGTACGATATAAGTTTATATCCATGTCTTTAAAGTGGCTCCCTACTGTTTTTGGCAAGAAGAAAATTTTCGATTCAGCTAGGGCGGAATTTTTGAACGATGGTTACTTATTTAAGAGGAGAATTTTTTCTATGTCGCGTCTTTTCGATGAAAAGCGCTCAAAACCTACGCAATGCAAAAAATGACGTTGTCGCGTACGCGTCAGCTGTATGGCGTTTACAAAATAGCAAAAAAGTTAAAAATTTTGAGAAAATCAGCTGAAAAGCCGTTCAAATCTGCTATATTTTCAGGTAAGTGCTTTTAACTACTCTAGAAATATAAAGAATATATCGTTTTGTCTTTCGTAAAATTGGTGTAATTGGTAATAAATATTGTTCTGATTTTTTGTAACTTCCGGTGTTATGATTTATGAAAACAAGAAAGCCATTCAAAGTCAGTCAAAATATGTCGTAATTTTATGCAATTTAAAGAGATGTAAAACTAGTCTTTTTAAAACGAAGATCTAAAAATGATGCGAAAAATATTACTCTCCGGTGTTTCTTGTTGCTATCTTGGCCAGACTCTTTCGATTCGCAGCTTTCATATATTTATTTTAGCTGTAGCGCGTTTCGTCCTAAACTCTAAAGGCTAAAAACCTGACATCGACGAGGTTTTAGATCTGCTTTCGTCTTCATACAATTTTAACTCAAGGACATTTGTAAAAGCAAATTCGTGCAGCCAATAAGGCAATAGTAAACTATATAATCAACATATATAAACAATGTTTGAACATTTAGACTATACATGTAAATATTTTATTACTTTCCCTTCAATTCAGATACGTAATTTAGCAAGAATGACTACTAGGCCTACAGATGTGAACGAGAAGGTATATTTATCTATGAGCAACTTTTATTTTGCTGTTTAAGTTGGTGAAAATCTCGCTGGTCATGCAACATTTATATATTTCCGAACTAAACTGCACATTTTTTCACAAATTATTACTCTTATCTTGACTTGCAGAGCATTCAAACTCTGAGAGCACTCTACGGCAAAAATAAGCCCTCATCGAAAAAGATTCAAGCAACTGAAATGTTTATGAAAGGGGAGAATTCTTTTCTGGTAATTGCGAGAGTCCTGAACGTTGCTACTGCCACAGCAGAAGTATATGCAATCGACGGATATTGTTCTGGTGCCCCATTATCTTACCAAGACCTGGCACCACAATTTAATTTAAATAATGAAGAAGCAGATATTATTGCTGCTGAGCTACGGAGAGACAACGTTAGCTTAAGAATCGTGCGAGATGCACTTCAAAATGCTTTCAGTTACAACCAAATTAGGCTTGTGCTAGCTGCATTGATTCGCGGGGAAATATGAACTGAGTCAGAGTTGCATGATGTCCTATTCCAAAGAACGGACACTTCTTTTGTCAGAAGAGTATAAGACAAGTTTTTTATAACTTAGGAGTTTTAGGATTTTTAAATAAGAAAATAATTTGTGTATTTAAGAAAAGAAAAACAGTTTTTGTGAATTTTAAATTGTGAATTTAAAAATTTGATGTTGTATTCGAAACTAAAAATCTCTTACCTTTTTTGCTCCATTTATAATATTCACTCCAGGGAAACACGTTTTTCAAACTGTTAGCACTTATTATATATCAGTAATTTCCGTGAATCAGCTTTCTGTGGAGTAATTTTTATCACTTTCACGATATATACACCCAAAATATTCCACAAGTATTCTTTGCATGCTTGACAATGGCAAAACGTTTCGACTTTCGAGCACGACGAGCAGGTTTTACCAGTTGCATAGCAACCAACATAACAATAACGGCTGAACCGGGGGGAGAGGTAAATTAAAGGAAGGCTAGGAAGCTGAAGCAAAATGATTCATGATTAATTTTGCGTGTTCTTAATCGAATGACATTTATTTTGAAATGAAAAAAGAAAGGATGATAACATTTTATATTGTTGATTGTTTTTTCGAGACACTCTGTAGTAGCAACCTGTTTAGTGTTATAATTGAGATTGTATCTTGATGATAAGGACCCACTAGAAGTCATATTCACAGTATAATTGTGGAAATTTCCGTAAATGCGGCTTTAATATCGTGTAAAATCTTGCTACTACTTTGGCTTTCGTGCACGATTTATATGCTTATATGTATCAAGATCAAAGAGAAATTATATTGATGCGCATTAGTGCGTTTATACAATACATGCATACAGTATAAGGGTCGTAGGACGTAGCAATAGGCAGGTTGAGATTTCTGGGATTGATATATCCGATTCTTGTGATCGCGCAACTCTTTCGATTTTATGTAAACCCAATGCAATACGTATGCGTGAATACTGGGATATCTATAATCATGAAATAATAAAGTCGGGACCATTTCCGCCGTGGCGCATTTCTCGCGTATTCTAATAGTACCTATAAATATAAAAACGCCCAATAACGTTTCCTTCCCATCAGATCACAATGTAGGTAAACATGTATACAGATTATCCCCTCACCCCCAACCCGCCACCATACATGTTCATTGTTTGACGTTTTTCAAAATGTGAAATGTTTGCAAACCAATAACATTGTAAGGTGTGGGCAAGGGGAAGTGATATTAGCGTGTAGTAAAATGATTTTGCCTCATTTGAAGTATTTTTCATTTAACTTGTCCTTAATTTACAATTATTCCAAGGTTACACAAACTACTCAGTGTACACACAGGGCATAAAAATCAAAATATGCGAACAAAGGTCTGGCCAAGACGAATTCCGAATTCTGGGGAGGATATTTCTAAAAAAAAAACACATCCTTTCGACAATAACGTCATTTGAGTTCAATAAAAATTGATACAATAACAATAAAATGGATTTTTTATTTTTACAAATTGCAATTTTAAAATACATCTATATAAATTTATGACTTGTATCTATATAATCGTTTTTCCATAATAATACAAAATATTGTTTCGAGTTTATTTCAACAGAGCATGATTTATACGAATTTCAAATATTTATTTCTAGCTTAAAAATGGAGCGTGTACGACCAAAAGACGATCCATGCATCTTCTGCTTCAAAATAGTGTCATCTGAAAAAGAGAAAAGATACGTTACAACAGAAAATTACACACAATTAGGTTTAACGGAGGATGAATTCATCACAACACGAGGCAAAATAATTTGTTCTGCGTGTAGAATGTCGAGAATACTTCCGAAATACAAGAATAAGTGTCGCACATTAAATTGCACTACGCCGAGAAGAAAAATTAAATTACGTGAATTGCATTTATCCGACAAAGAGGAACTCATCATTGAAGAAAAATTTCAAGTGTCAAAGAACGAAAATGTGTGCCGGGCCTGCTCGTACAAAATATACAAATACATTGCGACTAGCTTGAAAGTAGAAAATAACGATTACATTCCAAAAGCTATAAGCCAAATGGATTCTGTGATCTGTACCTACAATAGATATCCAGCCTCGAGTAACATCAACGTTCAACACCTAGATGCCTCAACACCTCCACTCAGCAATAGCAGCAGTGAGAGGAGTTTGACTAATGGTCGCGTGTCGCGGGTAAAAAGTCGCGGGTCGCGGGTAAAAAGTCGCGGGTAAAATGTCGCGGGTAAAAAGTCGCGGGTAAAAAGTCGCGGGTCGTAAAAAAGCTCTAAAGTTCTAAACCGTGTATTTTATTGAGTCGCGGGTTGAATAAAGTGTGTAAAAATCACATTAACATTTAGTTATTTAATGGTTTTTATCAAAAGTTGTTCGAAGATGTTATGAGTGGCTGCAATTGCGAGTTTCTAGATAAATATAGACAAGAACCATATAACATTATTGTAAAGCATGTTGATAGACGGTAGTGCAAAAGAATCCTGTTACACATTCCTATGTTTATAGTCTTGATTTTAGTAATACATATTACAATCCAATTTCTTACCATATCAGGCGCAAAAATCCGCTATTCAGTGGCTCAGTGCGCGTTGTCGTCAAGCCTCTGCGCATCGATCAGTACTTTCCAGAAACAAGTGCTACAGAACAGCGACTTAAATATCCGGGTTGTTGGTGAATCATAATGTACTTTTATAATGTCCTAGCATGGATATATCTATTACTAATTTGTGATACTATATGGTTCTTTTTAAATTAGTATAAAACTGATTGTAATAGTAGTGGTAAACTGAATTTATTTCTACCGAAGTCTTGTTTGTTTCTTTCAGAACATATTTTTTGATTAGAGGATTTTTGTCATGGTATAATTGTTGGTTTAACATGTTACATATTGAAATTATTCTTTCAAGTTTTAGGCTTCTGGCACGTTTATATAGAACCATTAAATCATGACAAAAGGCTCTTGGGCAATATTTCGTATTGAAATTGAAGCAATCCTATATGGTTGTTTACTAAATGATAACGTGATTTTTACACACTTTATTCAACCCGCGACTCAATAAAATACACAGTTTGGAGCTTTTTTACGACCCGCGACTTTTTACCCGCGACATTCTACATACCCGCGACACGCGACCATTAATCAAACTCATTAAATCATGACAAAAGGCTCTTGGGCAATATTTCGTATTGAAGCAATCCTATATAGTTGTTTACTAAATGATAACGTGATTTTTACACACTTTATTCAACCCGCGACTCAATAAAATACACGGTTTGGAGCTTTTGCGACTCGCGACTTTTTACCCGCGACATTTTACCCGCGACCCGCGACATTCTACCCGCGACACGCGATTTTTTACCCGCGACACGCGACTTTTACCCGCGACACGCGACCCGCGACTGCTACGCAGGCTACACTCGTGTCAAAAATTATTCAACATGTTGAACATTCAGTGCTAATGGCAGGCATGCATGCCGGAAATCTCTCAAAACGTCCCCGCACACCTGAGAAACTTGCTTACGCCAACAGTCACGCGTGACGCTCAGCTCAGCTGATAGCTCTAGTGTGCGGCGGGCTTAATGCAATTAACAAACACGAATGCTTGGATGTTTTTGCTTATCCGAACAAAGTTCGAGGGTGGTAAGTTAGATGAATAATTAGGCCAAATCGTCATTAGTGCCGTTTAGAAAACAAAGAAAAAAGACCAAGACAAAGAAAACAAAGGTGTGACGGTGTTTGGCCTAATTATTCAGCAAACCTACCAACCCTGGAACAAACGTCAACCATAGACAAAGTACAGTGCGTCAGTGAACCGTCAGTCGTCAGAGAGCGAAAAATGATCTGCTCGATATCATGGTTTGTCGGCGAGATCTCAGTGTCAGATATACCGAAAATGGTATACAGTGACAGTGTATTCGATTTACCCCGGTCAAGTATAAAGAAAATCTTTAATTTCTAAAGAAATTTGAATCCAGAATCTAAAATTGGTGCTACCTATGACACCTATACATACTTTGTTATCTTGTTATCTATAATAGTATATAATTGTTATCTTATTCCAAGTTATCCAAATTTGTAATCATGTATATTAACCGCAGTTTAGCCTTCAGTTTCGTTTTTTGGAATAAAAATATATTGTTTTGGGTGGAAATGGCCACTTTAATAGGCACTTGTATATACTTATAATCGCCCCGAAGATCACGTCAGTCAAATGCATGACATCTATATCAGCTTTGGAGACTGGGTCTGTTGAATAACTCATTTCTGTTTGACGAATGACGGTCCTGTGGGAAGTTTAATAATCGCCATAGATTTTCTGACTGTAATTTGGTTTTCAACCGACTGGCTCGTTTTGAATGGTAAACGATCCTGGACGACATTTGTGGCCTTTTGCTTAGACTTTAGTAAGTGCTTTTAGTCTATTTAGTGAAATAATAGCGCAAGCAGGTATTCATGTATTTTTATATTTATATGCGACGGCATGACAAAATATTCTTCTGCCGGGATCATTACGCGAAAGAATTTAATTAAATATCATGGCCTGATTCACGACTGCATGTACAACTGATCAGAGCCTGATCATGATTCATGAAACTACGGGCTTTCGGCCCGTAAGGCCGTAAACAAAAAAAACGACAAATCACGGGACGGGAAGTTATATCGAATTATGTTTCTATGATCAAGTGACTACTGGTCACAAAAACAACTTTGATTATTTATCTCTGTCTTAATGTCTTTATTCTTTAATTTAAGAATTCAGACAAACCGGCAAACGAATTTAACCTACGCAGGCAAAGCATATTGCAGTGGCATGCTACAGCAGTATACTGTATAGTGAAGAACTGATGTATATTTACTCACATGGAAATATTAAGTTACTACAGTATACTGGGTGTCTGAAAAAGTGACCCTTTATAGAAATCACTGAAATCACCCTAGCCTTTTGTTGTATTATTGTAAACACCCAAACTTCATTTCATTAAATGTTTTGTCCGAGATTGTATAGCCGCTAGCTATTATATTCTTGGTGACGACAAAAATGATCTCTGTTCGGTTTGAATTTGTCATTAGCTTTGCATAATCGATTAACCGATGCACTTGACTTGAGAGTTAGCAGTCACGAATTGTTACAGCTAGGCCCTATATAGACTTGCTCCAAGTCTCTCTTTCATTGTCGTATACTATCGATCCACTATAGTTTACATTACATGACGTAGCGCAGAGAGGCGGAGCCAGAAAGAGAGACTTGTCAGTTATCAACTTCGGAAAATCTCGGTTCAAAACTGAACCGAAAATGCAAGACTTGCTTTAATTGTTTTCGTTCAATTTCTTTCTCTATTATTTACTAATATGGAACTCATGTTATTTACACTGTGCTAAATCAATACATATAAACACACTCATGTAATGTACACTATAGTGGATCGATAATATATGACAATGAAAGAGAGACTTGGAGCAAGTCTAGGCCCTATAGGGCTAGGGGAGACCTTAACTCGAAATCAGTTTTTCGACCCCGGCGAATCGAAATTTTCTTTTGTCTTACAAGCACTCAGATGGAACTAAACAGCAATCTTTTGAATTTGAACAATAGAAATTTCGGAATTTTTTAAGGCGGTTTTCCACTAGGCGAAATTTTTCGATCGAACCAAAATTTCTATTGTTCAAATTCAAAAGATTTCTGTTTAGTTCCATCTGAGTGCTTGTAAGACAAAAAAAAATTTCGATTCGGTCGAAAAATTTCGGCTAGTGGAAAACCGCCTTAAGCCCCGTTTACACTATACCGGATTGCTATCGGAGTGGGTCAAATTTTGTAGGTATCGAAAGGCTGTGAAGATTTTTAATCTCAGAGACCCAAATAAACATGCCAATTCTGTCAAACTAATAAGCATTTGCTACTAACCATTGGCATTGCTCCGTAACGGCAAAAGAAGATGTCGTGACCAGCGAATCCGGTATAGTGTAAACAGGGCCTAAAGTCTGGTTTCCATTAAATCGTAATCATCGCAATAGTCGCGGAACGCAGACATCGCTATCGCAAAAATCGCAGTTCTATCTTTGCGACTTTGTCGTAAGAGTCTTAGTTATCGGTGTGACTCAAGTTTCCAATGAATCGCAGTTTTTATTAAAATTTTCGATGCGATGCGGTTCTTGCGATAATTACGATTTAATGGAAACCAGGCTTAAAGCCTGATTCACATTGATCGTAAACATCGGCGATGCTCATTGTCGGTGGTCATTGATGCATAAAATGTTTTGTGCATTTTCTTCTTCGTTGCTCACAGACAATGGTCGTAGAACATCGCCGATCAATGTGAACCAGGCTTAAGATTGACGTCAGGTACGGTAGACGGCGTTACCCTCAAACCTCAAGTGTATTTTGAGGACAACTGTTAGAAGTTAGAGCAACTTGTCACTAAAATTGAAACATGAATTGGTTACTTTAGCTGTCGAAAATTGTCAAATACGATTTGAAATTTGCTATTTGCTGTCTGTCGTAAACGAGGCTCTGGTGTTGAGAAAGTATTACAGTAAGAACGGCTAACCAAGATTGCGTGACTGCAGACAACTCTCATGCACTGACTTCATGAGTTTCATAATTGTTTGATCTGGGCTTTAATAGCACGACTGTACTGCATAGTGCCATCTATCAGAAGGTTCCATTGTCTTTTCATTGTTTCGAAAATCCCAGTTCCCATCAAATTCCATGCGTGACTATAGTCACGTGACGTTATATGTAAAGGACGTTATGCAGCGTCATGTATTGTGACCATTGACCTATGATTGTGATGAACTTGCACACGACGAAATAAACATAAGCACAAAGAAAACAATTTTTTTCCTTTCCTTGTGCTTGTGCTTATATCATGTAAGCTTGATCTCACCCTTGCGATAAATACATTTGGTACTTGTTTTATACGTGTGAACGTTCTTGTCCTTTATATGCTTATTTCATCGTGTGAACCATTGGCATTGTGGGCTTATCCCTTCGATAATTACGTCACGAATGGGCGCCTCGCTCGCGCGAATGAAAACGAAAGACTATGGCTATTCGTCAAGGGCGTCAATCTATCCCAAAAAGTGGGGAGGGGGGGGAGAACTTCAAATTAGGAAGGTCCGGAGGTATGCTACCCCAAATTTGTTTTTAATTTTCATTTTTGGTACACTGAAATGGCATTTCCAGCGTTTTGGAGGCACTTGTAAAGTTATAATACTATTCGAAGTGCAATCATGCGTAACATTGGCTATAAAACAAGGGGATCTCAATAGTTCAGGGTCAGTTTGTTAAACGCTCTACCCATGCAGTAAGGTCAGTCATGGCTCTATGGTGAAGCTCACGTCTAAAGATGATCCAAAATGATCAAGTTGGAAATCCAGTCGTCTAGGACACGACGAAGTCGCCGAACACAAATGTCAAGCAGAAGCCGTGCGCCGCGAAACAAAGCGAAGCCGACGAAGTATTTGGTAATGTATCAAGGGCGGCGGAACAGGGAGGTTAGGGGGGCTAAAGCCCCCCCAGAAGTAAAAGTGGGGGAGCTAATTTTGTTTTTTCTGGAAAAATTTAGATACTTAAGGAAAAATTGAGGGTATTTTTTGAAAATTTAGGTATAAGGGGGAAAATTTGCAATATTTTGTTTAAAAATTGTGTATGTCCGGAAACATTTTTTGTGTATGTCCGGAAAAATTTTTGTACCCCTAAAATGGTACACTGACCGAAATTTTTTTGGCGACGGGGGGGGGATGTAACGGGGAAAAAATTTAGCCCCCCCCAAAAATGAAATCTGTTCCGCCGCCCCTGTAATGTATTTGTTCAATGCCCAATTCAGTAAAGCCTGTTTTCCAGTAGGCGGAATTTTGCGCGCGGAACGGAACTTTTCTTTGTCTTTTCTAATTAGTTCCACCCGAGAAATCACAAGACAAAGAAAAATTCCACTCCGCGCGCAAAATTCCGCCTAGTGGAAAACAGGCTTAATTCGCAATCTTGTTGTTCGTCGGCGGTTGGTGCCGAACAGTTTGGTACTTTTTGTACTGGCTTCGTAACGTCCGTATACGTATTCCGTTGGGAACGAATATGTTGAATATAACTAAGACTGAAATGAGTTGTCCTGCTCATGGGAAAGTATTAGCTGAGCTACGATATAAGCAAGTCTTTGTAACGCGACGTTTCGCTTCATTCGTTTCTGATAATAACCTGGCTCGGAGGTTACATGCGTAATTTTGTCGGTATTAAATTGTGACTTTCTGTGGCGATTTCAGCACACATGGTTGTTACATCAGCCTGGTTGAGGCCAAACTCGAAGATATCATACAAATATATTAGTTTGGACTCTATATGGAGTTGTAACTGATCGAGTTCGACGGAGAACGAAGCGCGATGTTTTGGTTGAGGCCAATATTTAAATTCAGTTTATACCCTTTACATTTTAGCTTACGCCTCTTTGAATATGGAAGGCCATTCATCCTTCAATTTGCATAGACCAACGGTTTTCAACTGGTTTTCTCATGTGTCCCCGATTTCACATGATTGAATTACCACGTCCCCTGAACAGAAATTGCCCACTGAAGTCTATCAAAAACACGAATTTCGAAATAGTTAGTAAAATAGTAAATGATTTAAATTTTAAATAATAGATAGAAAGTCAAGCAAACATGTTTATAGTACAAACTATTGTATTCAACTATTGTATTCAACTATTGTTTTCTCAGTCCTAGACCAGTTTGTCCCCTAGGAATTTGCCAAATGTCCCCTCTCGGGGACATGTCCCCCAAGTTGAAAACCCATGGCATAGACTTACTCATAACATGACATAGCATAGAATAACATAAAATTTATTATTCCAATAGCCTCGCTATACACATTTGTGTATAAGCTCACGTGGACACGCGTGGTCGTCAGTTCGCACCGTACGTCTTCTTGCCACAAATAATATTTCACTAATCAATTCCTATCTACCAATATGTAATTACCAAACAACTTACCCTCATGGGGACGCAGTTAGTGTTTACAATTTAAATGACTCGGTACGGTGGAGGCCGGCCAGGGATTTAACAAATCAATTTCGCCCTCGGTAGCGGCCGAGCGAGTACGTCTTTAAATCAAATTCCTCGGCGGTGCCTGAGCTGTTATGTTTTGTTTCTTTCAACTTAAACTTATTTGGTAGTGGCCAAGTATGTTTCACGGCTCACATAACTCGGTAGAGGCCGAGAAGTCATGGGTTATGAATCAGCGGACTCAGTGTGAGAAGTTGTCTTGCATAGTTAGACGATCCCGTATGTTGTTATACCGTGATTTGATTTCACATCCTTCCTATGTTTCATTACGATCAGTTTTTCACCTTATACCTTCGCCCAACCATTGTTGGAACTGGGTGCGGGCGTCTAATGCCTTTTATGCCTCTAGGGGCTGCCTGGGACCGACAATGGGGTAGGCGATCCCTACGGATGTCGTGCCGTATCCTTTCCAGTCGTACCTACCGTATGTCGACCTGCGGTACAGCCACCCGACACTGAATGCTCAATGACAATGGTTTATTTATTTATTTATTGTGCTTCTCTTCCAAACATCATACAATAATTGCATTAAAGAAGCTGGGACACCACAACAGCTTAACACCAATTACAGTGGGCCCTTTACAAAATATCAATATAAATATAGAAAGCAGAAATAATTAACAATTTTTCGCCGAAGGCTAGGTGAATATCGTCGAGTAGTGACAGAGACAAAGTCGAAGTTTTCATTTAACAATAACCATCGAGCCTGAGGCGAATAATAGTTTTAGTATAATTTCATAGATGATTATCTATGAAAAGAAATTTTAAAAAAATACACATTTCTTCGTTTACGTGGAGCTAGGGTTCGCCTACCCGTATTGTCGATCCAGAGCATATGATCTTTTGATAACGTCTAACGTAACGAATTGGCCAAAATTGCTGTTTCTAAGCCAAAAGCGGACAGGTTTTAAGGTGCATGCGTCAGTGTGTGTCAGTTTACGTTCAAACATGATGCTCTATCGATCGTTAAGTCGCTGGGTCAATGGACATAGGCCAATGGACATAGGCCAATGGACATATCATTTTCTGGGTCAATGGACTGGCCTATCATTTTTAGCAGTTCTCACATTTTGACTATAATTGCAACCGTATCTGTCTCTCTAGTTGTGTCGCATTGTGCTCACTTTTCACAGTTCACTGTGAAAATTTAAGGAATTTTATTTACGAAACAAGTAATTTATTTCACGAAACGACACACATATCGTGCCGTGTAATGGTATTCCATCATTTTATTCGTATATATAAGCTTAGCTTGTTCGTTTAGTTTATTATTATGCAACAGAATCGCAGATCACGATTATGATTCCACCCTGTTGCTATCCGATATCCCTCAAATAGATCCTCCGGTTTGAACTTGTTTCTTTGTTTTTGTTATCCAGAATGGAAAGATGGAGTCGGCATACTCGACATTCGATATCCGCACTCTAGTGTATATCTATATGGCATTGTCTTTGTCAAAATGTCATAATGTTTTGCATTTTCTTTCACTTATTTGCCCACTGATGATTGCTTAGTTTCGGGGAAAAGCAGTTATGGGATATGGGGTAAGTTTTGGGTGAGTTTTGGGAATAAGTTTCGGGTAATGTTAGGATGAAGGGTAGGATATATAGGCTAACGTTACCCAGTTGGGAAAGTAGGAGATCTTACCCGGCTGGCGGGCTCGTATTTCCCAAAACTATCTACCTGTAAGCCAATGGGAGCACGAGGGCAGTTAGAATAGATTACTATTCGAAGTGCAATCATGCGTAACATTGGCTATAAAACAAGGGGATCTCAATAGTTCAGGGTCAGTTTGTTAAACGCAGCGCCCATGTGTGTTAGTCGGAAAGACATAGCTGTGTATACATGTGTGTATATATAGGTAGGAAGCAGCAATATTGTGTCACAGATTCTGTTTTAGCGCTTTTCCCCACCCGTCCCCTCCCCAAGGAACTTGACTCCCTCGCTCCTCGGCTTACGGGCTCGCATTTCCCAAAACTATCTACCTGTAAGCCAATGGGAGCATGAGGGCAGTTAGAATAGATTACAATGTGCATGATCTTAAATCCATTTTTAACCATGTGAGAAATCCGCTAAAAACAAGGTTGTGCAAGTGGGATAAAGCACATCAAAGTTGTTAATTATATATATTAGTTAGTTATTCATTTGGTTTGATTGCAATGCTATGTCTACAACTTTTAATTCGGGTCAGGCGAGAAACTACAAAAATGGAATGTTTAGGCTTAATATTTTACTATATTTGAACTTTTGAAAATGGTAAAATAAAATCATCTAGTCTTAAATCTTAATTTAGTCGTTAAATTAGTAAATTACGATTATGTCCATTAGCTCAATAATTGATGTATAATGGTTTAAAATATATTATTACCTCCTTTACTGTAAATATACTAAAAAAACTCATTAATAATTCACGAGGAAAATATGAGATTTGTCCTGATTTACATAAACTTTAATTTTGATTTTCTCGGCTTAGACTATATATGTTTATTTTTAAAATTACTTCGCCAATGTCAATGAATTCATAAGATGGGTCGCTTTTTATGCACGATATTAAAACATTCGCATCCGATCTTTATCTGATATACAAACTCTCATCTTCGGTTCGGCTCGAGTTTGTACATCAGTGATAAAGATCGGCTGCTCATGTTTTATCTAGTCTAGTACATATATAGTATCTTCCACTTCGAATATATATAAATAAATATAATTATAAAGTTTATATGCATGTTAATGTTTTATGTTATATTATATACTTTTATTCTTGTTCAATATAATAATTCGAACTGACTAAATATTTAAAGAATGAAATAATGTAAGGGGTCTTAATTAAAAAGCCTCCAAAATAGCAAAACAAAATGTAAATAAATTCTAAATACTTTTTACGGGCGTAATAATAAGAAAACAAAAACAAGCAAAACGAATTATTGTCTCATTCAGTATAAAATTACAACACATGTACAAATTTGAATTCAATTTCGGAATATTTTTTAGTACTCACATAACATATGCGATGTCAGTATTTGCTCCCAGCGGCTACAGAAAGATCATACGTTGTACTTCATCTTATCAATGCCCAAACAATGAATATTTGACACACATATATCCCACATTGCACTGCGTATACCTAATGTTTAGATGGATTGGAAATAACGCGACGTAGGCACTTCTAGAGTCAATTGCAAATAGCCAAATAAGAGGGATTTGTGACGTAATTATTCAAGGGGTGTATTCTCCAGTATCTGTTGTTGAATTCCAATGGGCTTATACAAGGGGGGGGGGGGCTTATATACGGGAGGGGGCTAATACATTGACGATCTTTTGTGTTAGTAATAAACAAGTCAGACATATAAAACAAGTCGGTCATAAACAGGAAAATAAACATGTATTAATAACGCGCTTTGATTCACATAGTCGGCTATAAAGACAATGACAATGTTTTTAATTAAGTATCGTTCTCTGCTATATTAAAAGACAACTGTCAATGTTGAATAACGTAGTGGGCTACTGGGCTTATATTCAGGGGACTTATATTTGGGGGGGGGCTTATATTCGGGTGGGCTTATATTCAGGGGGCTTGATACTTGGAATGAGGTGAGTTGCTATGTGGTGGGTTTATATCTGGGGCTGATACTTTTGGGGGGGGGGGCTTATAGTCGGAGGTTTACGGTACAACAGCGATATGATTAGAAGTATCCACATGATTGAGTAACTAAGGCCTGTTTTATACGTCGACTTTTGGTCGCGTCGAATGCAATTAAGACAATACATAGTGAGATGATAAACCTCATTAAGCTTCATTACCTATATTGTTTGAATTCCATTGACGCGCGTAAAAAACAGGTTAATTAATTCTACGGCATAGTGAGAAAGTGAGAAAAAGAGCTTGATGCTTTGCCGGATGTAACAATTTTACTACATGCATGTATCAGTCTTGAATTTCACTAGATATAGGTTAGTTTTAAAAAAAGTGCAGTTTAAGTGCTTCCCTAATATCGAGCTTTATTAGTGAAATTAGTTTCGCAAACGTAAAAAAGGGTAACGTCTATAACACACGGTGGCAAGACATGATAAATACTCAACATATATAGGAAATAAAATTTACGCAGTTTTCTCAATTTTAATAAGATATAATGAATCCAAAAAGTGTATTAATTTATATGACCTTATTAATACCATAGTTTCTCAAAGCATATAGAACAGAGGGAGGGTGACATGAAGTGACAGCCATTTCACGTTTCACATGTCAGTTATTATTAAGCTGAGCCATTTCACGAAAATTAAAAAAACATGCATGCATGGTTTTCAGTTTTGGTTATTCCTTATGCTGTTTTTTAACACTCGTAAGATATAAAGATTCTAATATCATAAATTAATCAAGTGCCTATAAATTAGACCACATTGCTCAATACAATCTTTAAGGCGGAAGTTACACGAAACAATTTTCGCTGAAAATTGACAATTAAGGATGATAATTTGAGGTTTGTGTTATCTTCCACATATGCTTGACCTTGACAGACGTCGCAGAAGCAAAAAAGTTTCCCATGCTACACTGAGAAACAGAAACATATGTTGTTTTTAAAGTGTGAATTGTTGAGGAAACAATGTTCAAGTAGTGACTTCAGTCCTTACCCACCCTTCAGGAAACAACAATCCTTCCGGCCTTCCGCAAAAATGTGTGCAATACTGGATTTGGCGAATTTGTAATACGATATCACTGAAAGAAGAGTTATCTTGATGTGTTTTGGTAATAAAAATTTAAAGTTCATTGCCCACATCCTTTCAAATATTAATTGCTTATACAGTTAAAAAAAAAATTTCGCGGTAAAGCAAGTCCAAGACCAAGTGCAAATCAACTTCTATCGTTTCAGTGGAGTCATATAAATAATCAGTTGTTGAGGATCTGCATATAATCAAGAGAAGACATATCATATTTAATTCAAGGTATTATAGAGAAAGAATCGTAGTTTAGGGTGTTGCTATATATAGTCAGTTGACCTTAATTAAAATGATATGAGCTCATATGCACAACTCCTGGAGGACAACTTGAAACGAACCACTACTCACGATATGTATAGGGACTGTAATGAATTGAATTCCGCTCTCTATCATATTTTTTCTGCTACGAGTCAAGTAAGTGCAAGGGAAATGAAACGCTCGATCAGAGAAGTGGAACGAAAAGCTGGAATCCAATTCATATATTGAAAGATTATATTTTTAAAGCACAGCTGCAAACGAAAGTGAGTTATTTATACATCGTGTCAGACAAGCAGACGTAAGTACTATAGGAAAGACAATTATTAATAAACTATACGTTGCGCTTTTAAGTAATACTAACTCAGTCATAACTCATAACATATATATATCCTCCATGCAACGGCAATATGTTTAACGGCAACATTAGCATATAGTGATATTGGCATTATTTTATTTAACATTTTGTGCTTTTTGGTGCAATAAAATATGTCGTTTTTGTGCGATTGTTCATGCATGATCATGCATACGACATTTAGCTTTGTTTGAACTGAAACCGTTTGTTATTGGGCTACATGTACATATACTGATATAGGCTTTTTAAGGGTTTAAAAGCCAACTCGGGCCCAGATTAGGAAAGCGCCTTATAAAAACCCTGTTTTTTGCGCCATTGGACAATGTGATAAAACCGATAAAGAATCATGCAGTCCTATAAGCTTATATTGCTCTATACGCATGCATGCATGCCTAATGAGTACAATACTAGAATGGACGAGAAATTAAGAAATACACCAAATGCAGTTAATCTTGACATCAAAGGTAAAAAAAAGCCGCCCATACTTTGATGAACTAATCTCCGTAAAAGTCAGAAATGTCCAAAGTCCGAAAAATCGATGTAAGTATGTATGATAATCCTTAAAAGAATGAAAAATACCTTGAATCTAAAAAATATACTGCATATTTAATGACCATCTCGAAAAGGTCAATACGTACATTGGGTACAAGAGGTCTTTACCAATTTGTCAAAACTAAAATAATTATTGTAAATGGCATATGCGTGTCATGAAGTGCGGAATGATGATGCAGTTATTAAACAAGAATTTGAGAATTGAAAAATAGGAATATACTATAAGATCTGATCATCTAAATGTGTATAAGATGTATTGTTATTGAATATTGTTATAAAATGCAGGGATTTATATAGATAGGGCAGGGATAGAGCATCTTTCATTCATGTTCTTACAATTACGGAGAACTGGAAGATCTTCAATCACAAAACTTGAGAAACGACCTCCTGATCCAGTTCGTCTGTGGACCTCGCTAGGGAACGTTGCTAAGATTCCACCGATTAACAATACATCTATGTCTGCAGTTGCTAACAGATCTTTGTATGCTGGTCTGTTAACCGGTGGAATCTGTTGACATATGTTGTCAACCAGTGGAATCTGCAGATGGATTCCATCTTACCCGGTGGAATCTGTTAATCGGTAGAATCACTGCAAATGAGCTGACTCAATGGTTTCAAATGGTTTCAAGCGTACGCTGACACGTTCCTGCTATCTGGACCTGATAAACCGCCAGTGCAAGGGCGACTGATCCAATTCTAATTCACTATATACTATCGGCTGGCCGAAACTCCAAAGATGCTTCTGTTCTGTGGGGTGGTCTGATATATGATAGCCCTGTTGAGGGTATAGCCGTAACCGCGGCATGGGTAGGTATTATTTGAAAGTGCAGCTGCAGTGATAACCAATCAGTTTTTTTTTTGTTTGTTTGTTTTTTATTTAATGATTTGCCCATGTGATATACCATTATGTTACATAAAAAGTAAATAAAATAAAGTAGAAACATTTGGGCTAGGAGTCTATAGAAACCTTGAACAGGATTTTGATTTAGACCCCTAGTTTAAAGTCTTGGTGCTAATATATATAGTTAAATTGTCATCGGTTCTAAGTATTTACAAAAAGTGAGGTTATGTTACATTCAATATTTATAGGAGAGTATTTACTTTTATTAATTTAAATGAGAAGCTTGAGTTAAATATCTATTTACATGAAGAGAAATTACAGTTAAAGTGATTTATAAGATTAATTACATAGAAAGTGTATTTTGGATTTTTTCTTAAAAATGGGACGTGATGTTATTATTTTTAAATTACTGTCAAGATTATTCCAAACGTCCACCCCTTTCGATTCACTGAAAGCGAGTGCTTGACGTAGTTAGTTCTCTGATAAGACTTATGAAGTTTAGTTGAGTTTCGAGTGTTGTATTGGTGAATTTGGTTATTTGAAATAAAAAAGTTTGTGAAAGTTATTGGCAAGTTCTTTAAATGATGATATCGGAACATGAAAAGACTTGTAAGGTAGTTATTTAACTTACTGAGATTCAAGATCTGTAGGTCAATAAATATTTTTTCAGTGTGAGAAAAATTGGACTGAAATGTCATAAGACGAATTATTTTCTTTTGAATATTTGTTAACTTTTGAATTCTTGTTTTGTATGTGTTACTCCATATTAGATTGCCATAGATTAGATATGGATAGACTAAAGCATAGTATATTAGTTTTAAAGTATTCAAATTTGTAAAATGACGAATTTTTGCAATAATTCCTGCAGATTTTATAATTTTCTTTGCAACGGAATCGATATGATCGTTCCATGATAAACATTCTTCAATAACTACTCCTAAAAAGGTTGTACTTTTGACTTGTTTGATATCGTCGTTATTGATGAACAACTTTACTCAACGTGTTTCTTTTTCTTTTTTGAGGATCGAAATAAAATAAATTTGGTTTTTGATGTGTTGATAGATAGTTTTGTGCAGCAATATATGAGATTTTGCAGTTATTGACGCACAATGTTGTGTGGCAATAAATTTTTCATTAATATATTAAAGACTGTTATTTGTGAAACGGAGGTTTGGTCATGGGAATACTACAGTAAACTGACTAAGTTATTTTGCCTTTTTTGGCTTATATCTTAATTAAACAGAAGCGACCTTCACTGGGGGGGGGGGGACAAAATAGGGGCTTGCTTGTTCACTGTAGGGGACAGGGATTGGGGGTGGAACTTGTTAAAAGAGGCCAGGCACTGTTTCTGAATTTGGATGTTATGAAGTATATTAATTTTATAAGTGAAGCGTAAATTAACCGGCGTACAGATGATAGCTGTTTGTAACTTTGTGTCGGTAGTGATAAATTTTCCCTAAAGTAAGCCAGTGACGTGAGCGACGAACTGATATTGCTAGTCAACATATGAAGCCATATATAGATATACATATATATATACATAAATCGAAATCCCACTAGATAGTCTATATGCGCCAATTAAGCCGAGTAAGGAGAAACAAAAGGTATAACTTCACTAAATCTATTAAATTAAGAAAACTAGTAGAAACGTCTTTCTGTATGCAAGTCCTATACAATCCTAATCTAGTATCCTTATCGGCCATTCGTGTGTATCAATTTCAAAGACAATGAGCAATATTAAGGCGTCATCTAATATTGACATGTGGTTTTGGGGTTAAATAGTGTGATATGGGCTTTTTGGCAAGAAAACAACTGAGAGAGATAAAAGCTCTCTTAATAATTATTGTGCCCTCACACAATTCACCAATAACGTGTCCTCAATAGGTCACGTGTCTGCCCACTGTCCATGCAATATTGCTGACAGGTGCCCAATGGATAGCAGCTTAACGCCGTTTTATATATACTTTGGCACATTAAAACGGATCACGAACTAAGGAAAAGGATTTATCTGAATATATTGTAAAAATAAAGCGGGGAAAATCTTGTCTTCAAAATGCAGTTTTAACTGAACAACAGGTCTAAAAGGTCAGTGCATCATTTATTCTTTTCCGCTAATAAAAATATTTATTATTAGATCGATCAATTTACCTTAAAAAAGACTGAATGAAATTTAATTTTAATTGAGGCACACCAATGTATAATATCCTGTCAGTGTCTGAGAATATAGAAAGTACTTTTGTTTCGAGCGAAAGCACTTCGCCTGTGAAGGTTATATAGTAGCTAGTTACTGCTACGTACTAACCTGGCTCCATGAACATCCAGACGAAGAACCGAGCGAATATATACATTTAATAAGTAGATGTATGGTACAGAGGTCAGCATTGATCATGAAAGAGAGATTAGGTTAAAACTTAAAAGTGACATTGGAAATCAGTTTCCTTTCACTCACAACGGGTGGCAAACCGAGCCTTTCCTCATTTGTGGGGTTACGTTTCCTATTTTCCACATATGATAATTCCCATTACTTGAGGTAAAGTATTAAAACATATAGATCGTATAAAATTCTAAAGTTACTTAATTCTGCTTGGAATGAAGCCATATGTGGTCATATGTATTTATTTCACACGAGAAAGCCAGGCCGCAGAGTCAATTAAGTTAATTTAGCCTCCTCCGCAGGATAATCTAGGGGAGAAGCGGAGAGCCACTAAGATTTAAGTTGTTATATCACAACTTCTTGATATTGGCTCAGGGCAGGCTGCTCTTGATGTGAAAACTAAAAAGGCCTTAATTGGTGGGTTTCAATAATTCACTGTAGGTTTTGCACACTACAAATGCAGTGAAGAAAGGGGTAAAACATTTTAAATCCTACGTAATTTAATCCGCCAAAAACATCCCTGAAGAACAACTTCTGGCTAAGCCTGCGTTCAGTCCTAGCTAGACGCCTGGCGGGAATTTGGCACAGGCACCGGAATTGAACTGGGGGAGGTTCTCCTAACATGGCGTTTTACATCACAATAATGTCAATAATATAGTTACATATATAGCTAGAGTATTCAGTCAAAAAACGTTGTGAAATCACAATAAGTTGGACGTAATTGTTGTTGAGTTATGACGAAGGATGTATTAACTACAATACTAGTTAAATATATATAAAAAATAATTTTCATTCTACAGAAAGTCAATGTTTTGTTAATTGAGTAAAACTTTAGGTCGACCAGTTATTGTTGATAACCGTATTGGAATTTTATCACAAACGTACTATCGGTCTATTATTCATTCCAACCGCATTCTGGGCTTTGCACCTGCGATCCCATAAAAATCATTTTTCACGTGAAGGTTCCGTGACAAGATATTTACCAAGCATAATCTTAAATCAAATTTTGTCATTCTAAAATGATGTTCTTTTTGTGTTTTTGCATAGGGTCACTGTCAATATTTGCCGACCGGAAATATCGCATGACGCATAGAAACAGGCAGTGACGCACCGCTGCTGTTTTCAGCTATTATATTACACTATTTGAGAAAATTCGGTAAATGATCTTCTGGTCCGAAGCTGTGAAACTATAGTGAACTAATAGGTTTTGTTCGTACGTGGAGGACTTATCAATGAGGTTGTGCAAAAGAGAAACGGGTCTGTATTGGTTTGTTCACAGTGTTGTGTGGATTGGCATTACTTTACCAACAGTATTCTTTCTGTTGCGGATAAATCATCCCAGACACGATGAAACCAAGACGAAATCCATTAAGTAAGTATTAAAAGACAAGCGTTTAATTCTTTAAATTAATTATAGAATTCTAACTTATGCAGCAGTTTTAACTGCACATAAATGTGTATTTTGTTATTATTTTAACCAAATTTAATCACATGTGTATTGCCGATATCTTACTTGTGATAGACATGCTAAGGGGTATTATATCAATGTTTTGTCTGTACAAGTGCAGATAGATAGATAGGTAGATTAGTTTGTGTGAAATAAACAGATAGATTATACAGATACTGTAACCCGCATGAGGCGACCTAAACAAGGCTATATAAATCAAACAACATACCCGATTTATACCGCACAACATTTGCCTAAAAGTGTAGCATGCAACCTGCTTATAATTTGAATTGTATATGGTGTAAATCATATATTAACTATGTGTAAATCAAGCACACAATTCGCTTACGTTGTCGTGGGTGAGTTGTGCGCTTGATTTACACAGTACAAGTATAAATCAAAGTTGTAAACAGGTTGCAAGCAACAGTTTTAGGCAAAAGTTGTGTAGTGTAAATCGGCTGCTTAAACTGTGAATTCCTGGCTATCTAAAATGAAGGTGAATTTCAACTGGTGATCACAACTGCAGGTGCGTTAGTAGTTTCCTTTGCAATTAATTAAGCCGAAGCTGTATGGTTCGATTGTATAATTTATAAATATATATATATATATATATATATATATACAGTATATATATAAATCAGCCAATCGCAAAGCCTGTTAGTCATATAATATACCTGATAAAATAATAAATATGAACATGAATTGTCAAGCATCTTGAGAAATACTTGATATCAAATCCGGCAGGGTGTCATTAGCCGAAAGCCCGAATAGATATGTTTTATTTCACATCTCTTCTTGACATCTATATACTGTAAACATCTAAATAAATCATTTGCTTTACAGTTTTATCACAAGCTTATCTGATGAATCTAATTTGATTAGCCTAAGTGTCTGCTATTAGATCACTTTTATGTGGTCTAAGAATTTCTAGAATTTTAATTCTGCGGATTTATTAAAAAGTAGTGCGGTAAAAAGGTCAATGTTCATGTCGAGCCTCATTATGTAGTAATTGGTTAAAGCGATACAGCGATGGCAGCACGCATTGGGCCGATTTATACTAGAGAAAAATCATTCGTGTAACGGATCGTCCACATCAATTGATCCCCAGCCTCGTACCCGGCGCTTTGATTGAATTGATCCCACATAAGGCTTACTTAGTACATGCAGGTGGTAGAATAGCGCCATCTATATACTGGAGTTACTGGCTTTTTACACGCAATGAAAAACTGGGTATTTTTCGTAATGTGCTATAATGCAATATTATTTTAAAATATACACGTTGACGGTCAATGGTCACCCCCTAAGACGAACTACAGTACCAACGCATGGTACTACGCAGCAGATATAGTTTGTCTTGACAAACGACCGACTTGTCACTTTGCGGAATTAATACTTTGTCTACTTAGTCTTACAGGAATTATCACACGAACACTCTTTTTTATAATGACGTCACTACACGGATAAACATACACTTACTGTAAATTAATGTGATGTTACAGGGAACAATATAAAATAACGGTAACTCCGAAAATAAACATTTTAATATTCTAGCTTTCGACTAAGATTCATGAGTTACCGTTGTTTTATATTTTATTAAAATACCCATATTGCCATAATCACAGGGAACAATCTTTACTAGCGATAATAAGCGCTTCCCGACTTCGCTGACTGGCCATGAAAACTACTTATTTCCAATGGATTACATTGTCCGCCTCGATTCCATGCTATTGTTTCGTGTGCACTCAAGCAAATTCGGGAAGTGTCTATTCGCGATCCAAATGATGTGACATGAAATTTGATCGGCAAAAGGCAACGATTTGCATTGATTGTTGTCAAAAATTGTCACATGTCACATCGCATTTACAGGAAAAGCGGTAACCGTATCTACTGATCCCACAAGACTGAACTATATCCAGATGAACTATGACAGAAGCTGAAACAAATCATGAGAAGCCGGTTGTCTATTGATGCGTTAATTTTCGTACTATAAACTGTAACTGCAGACGAACGTCGAAATTCTCCTTACTTATATTTTTCAGGTAGTTGCATCCCTACCAACGAAAGCTTGTTCGTACATATAAACTTTTTATACAACAGGACCCTGGTATTTTTCGTAATTGCAATGTAAACATTTACTACAAACGCAAGTTACTACGCAGATAGATCCTCTTGACGGATGATCTGTCAGCTTGCAAGATTAGTACATAGAGGAACCAGGCATAGTATTACAGTGTGGTGCCTTGAAGCATGTGCAAAACAAGTGCACGTAGTCCGCGTACTTAAGGCTTATGGCAGAAATAGTCGAATAAATACCAAGGCTTATATGATTCCGAACAAACTAACCGACTAACAAACTCACGAATATAAAGGACGCCAAATTTCTTTTGGGCACCGAATTAGTAGACGAACTGCTTAGTATTATTTGTCTGAGTTCAACTCCTTCCTTCTGCACTGATTGTCTTGCTGGGATCAATATAGATACCAGTCTACGGGGTTCGCATTGGACAATTATACCGTGATGAACCCTTACCTAAGGCTACAGGAAGGGCCAAAGTGGATATGGGATTCTTTAGTCGTGGTGAAGGCAATATAGGCTGGGCAGCGGAAAAAACTGAGGATTAGGAAACCATAAACAGCGTGATATACATGGGAGACAAGATGTAAAGGCAAGCTCGTTAAACAACAGGTTTTGGCAAGTCAGTGCTCATACCATGAGTACATTTGCTCCATGTTAATAGCAACATGTTACGAAGATATAGTGCTATTGGGCAGTCACAAATCAGTTCTAACATAAGCTGTTGTGGTATTTGATGAGGTCCTTTTTTTCGCATCAACATCTTTCACATAAGAAAATAATTCGTCAGAAAAGCTCAATCCATTCGGGTAAAGGCATTCTTGATTCTTCCTATGTTTAGACTGGGATGAATATATACTCGCTTCGGCAAGATTGGCTTATCATAAGTTCAAATAAGTCTTGTATTCAGATTTCGGAGTCGGTGATTTACTCACACAGCTTACGTACTGAGCGGTCTATTTAATTGTAGAGAATGGCAGGTACTTATAGACCTCGAGATTTAGAGAAAAGATGGGCTCGGAAATGGGATCTATAGAGCCCCCTTCGTGACCCTCAGGGTAATGACGCACAAACCAAGGTACCGTTTAAAAACCGTATACTTCTGGATAAAAGTCGTGGGCTGATATTTGTTCCTATAAGTATCAAATTAAAACAATAACATTGAACTTTGTGGAAAAATTCCAACGACCGCAGGAATAACTTTATATAACCTTGAAAAGATTCCAAGTGTTTTGACAAAAACTTGCCCTTATTTTACTATTTGATTTTTGGCCGCCATGTAACGTTGATGTCAAACATGGCGGCCAAAAGGCAAGTGCTCAAATAAAGCCGATTGCATTATTTAAAAGATTCATGGTTTCTGATTGGCTAACAGTCAACTGACCAAATATGGAGTTTCGACATAATATTCAACGTTATGACGTCATAATGTTGTGAAAATACGAAATGTGGAAACACGACCAACACAATTAAAGCTAGGGACTGAGCTATCTGCCGATAAAGTTTTGCAGCCTAAAGGCCATGATACACGGTGCAATTTTTCTTGCAACTTGCAATGCAATCCTACTCTTGAGAGATGTTAATTAGTGAAATTAGTGAAGAATTTTCGATATGCTGAGAAAACATCAGCAGAGTGTAATGAAGACTCGTATTTGGCAATTTTACATCTCTCAAGAGTAGAATTGCATTGCAAGTTGCAAGAAAAATTGCACCGTCTAACATGGCCTTAAGTCACTGAGAAATAAAGATTTCATTACGCCTATACCATATTTAAGCCTGGTTTCCATATGGTCGTGAACGTGTTGTAGCTGTCGTCAGAGTAGTTTTCGCGATCAAATGGAAACATGAAGAAAAGTCTTGTCGCGACACGCTGGCAACAGTTCACGACAGTTACAACAGCGTCGTCGAGATAGGCTCGAATTCTATCCGGCGACAACAGTAAAATAAAAACGTGTCGTGACGGTTATGTTTTAATGAAAACAGAAAAACGACAGCGTGGCAACAGTTTTGCGACAATCGGGGGGGGGGGCAAAGTTCCCCTTTGGGGGGACCGTGTTTGTCTTTTTAAAACTGTCGCCAACTGCTTGTACAATCCGGCCCTGGCCACGAAATTAACTTACGACAGTGTCACGACAGTTACACTACCATATGGAAACACGCATAAAAATCATTCACGACAAACACGCGACAGTTACAACCACGTATGGAAACCAGGCTTTTGCAAAAATGTTGGAATTCTAGTTGCGGTTCGACATCTCAGCCATCGCGGCTTCGACTGATAACACAAACTTCGGACTTGATAATTCTTCAAAATATTCAGTAACCCAGATATTTTGATTCTTTTAGTAAGGCTGGGTAAGATTAAACTAAATTATGTTTATAACCAGGGGCGTGCCGGGCGGGGGGGTGTGGGGGGATGTTACACCCCCCCAGTTTTCTCTTAGTTTGTCGGTAAAATCGGAAAATTGAAGGCTTGTCGGTAAACTAGTTAATTCATCGTCGGTAAAATACTAAAATGAGAAGTAACAAAATATTTATTAAAACTGAAGCAATTATTCTGCAATTTCATCTGGTATTTCGTTGGTAAATCAAGAATTCAAGATTTCTGCTGGCGATTAAATGCTCGATCATGTCTAACAGAATAATGTTTATTGAGAAATACGTTATTCGATAGTGGTTTTACATTGATATCCTGTGGTCGGTTAAATTGCGTCAGCACGCGCTGCGCTAATTCTGTATTTGCGTAATGTATCTGCCAACAATAATATAATATAATATATAATCCGATAATCGATGCGCGATTTTAATAGCATTCACCGGCTCACCGCATTGTGTATTTGTGTAAATTATACAACATCGCATTTCAAAATCGTTACGGTCGTCGGTTCTTTCGCGCAATTGCTTTTAGCTGAATGAACAAAAATTATATGTATATATTAATTATATATAAGCACTAAAATATAAAGCACAGACAAATAATAAACTAATTTGCATATTTAGAATCAGAATATAATCGCCTTAACTCAACATCTTTCATGTGTAAAAGTACTACGTAATTTATGCTTGTCTAATTCTTGTGTGACAAATTTTGTAAATTAAAAATAAACTTGTACACATAGCG